CCCTGGGGCTGGGCATGCCGCCGTGCCCGGCCAGGGGAAAAGGGCTGCCCGCTGGTGTCTGCCCGGAACGCGTTTGTTTCGCACCGCTGCTTCTAAGGGTTTGGTTCTGAATGGACTGAGAGGCAGCGTGCGGGTCTCTTTAACCTGAGATAATAGAGTTGATTCTTTCCAGAGACGACAGTGAAGAGTTGTCAGGACACTGAAGGAGGCCGGGGAGAAAAAAGGGTAAACTTATGTTCAGGAAGTTAATTGATAACTCCGAGTTCATAGCTGACAAATTATAGCTCTGTTCTATTAAACAAGATTTTTTCCTGAGATAATGGATGCCTATTAATTAATATGGTTGCATAGGTGACAATCAAAAGTAGAACTTGGGGGCTAAAAGATGATCTTCCACTCACATGGCCACGTTCTTAAATTATCAAGGCTTCAGCCTTTAAATACAGAATACTGTGTTTAAAGTAAAGATCAGGAGTAGCATCTGGTAGCTTTTTTGTTTAAGTGTTAGCATAGCTGGTGTGCCAGAAACAATTAACAAGATCATGTAAAAATTGAACATCCTTCTGAATAACACAGGAAGAACACAATAAAAGTTGTGCGTGTGGGAGTGAGCATCTTTAGCCAACTCTGTCATCAAGTGGGAAAACAGCATGTAATGAAGCCAATCAACTGCAGTTTTTTAGAAGATACAATGGGTCTCCTAAGGATATGTCCTTTTGGTCTCTCATTGCTTTGGTAGGCCATGGAGGGTCAGGAGCTGCCTTATGTGCTCATTGACTGTATAGGAGGGAAGCATGGAGTGTATGAAGACCACATTGAATTTCTGGAGAAACATTTTCATCTCATCACCATGAAAGAATATCTTGAAAACAAGAAATTTCTCAGTGAAAAGATCAGAGCTATTTATATGTGGTATCACAAACCAGTTATTAATGAAGAGCTGCTCCAGAGCTTGCCTAACTTGAAGATAGTTGCAAGCTCTGGAGTGGGAATAGATCACTTGGACCTGCACCTCCTCTCCAGCTATGGTGTGAAGGTGGCCAACACTCCGTTTGCTGTTTCCACTGACACTGCAGACTTTGGGATGGCTTTGATGCTGGCATCTTCCAGGAGACTTGTGGAAGGTAATAACTGAAATGGTTTTAGTCTTTTTAGAGAAAAGGTGAGTCTTCAAAACCAGCAGTTAGGAACTCTGTGCTGAGGCAAAGGTAAGCTTAAAAGAAGAAATAAAGGAAAATACAGGGACGAGGAAAAAGTTAAGACAAACCTGTTATGTTGACAATAACTTGCATGCTGTGCCTACCATTTCCAAACAGGTATATCAGCAAGATAGGTGTGTTCCTTCCTCAGACAGCCCTAAATTCAGGCCTCTTCTCTCATAGCCCATAGCCACTTATTCATTGTACTTGTTCACTGCAGTCCTTGCTTTTCAAGTTTTGCTAAAAGGGGATTAAAAGGAAATATTTTCAAGTAGGCTTGAAAACTGTCTTTGCCAAGCTGACAAAGTCATTATCTGCGTCATTATGCACAAGCTGTCCAGAAATCCCTCCACCATGCTCTGTGCTTCTTTTCTGGGCCAACTTTGTTGTTTCTGCAAGACAGCTGGGAACCATATTTTGACCTTACTGAAAGTCTTGATGTTAACACAACTGATTCATCAGTTGCACCATTCAGTATTTACCATGTAGGTGACATCCGTGGCACTGCCAGTTTCATAAGCCCTGCTAATGAACCATCATGAGTAATAAGCTGCATTGCTGAGGTGCATTTCAGTAGCACGATAATCTGTACTGCAGGCAGAGAGGGATGATGGGCAGATACGTGATGTACATCGAAGGGAGGTCGCTGCTTTGGCCTTGCCTTCCGTGTCTGTCAAAGAGGAGCTGGGTATGTCTCTATCCTTAGCAAGAAATCAGTGTCAGACGTCATGTTGATGGTGCAATGTTACTTGCTTCTTGTCCAGAAACACAATAATAACCCAAACCATTCTATGATGGTATGATTGTTACTGCTCCTGTGCTTCTGCCTTGTTTTATGATAAAAAGTCAAAAAAACCCAAAACCCAAAAAAAACAACCAAAAAACCAAACTAGTAACCAGATGCCAGGACATCCTTTTTACATGACATATTTTCTTCTTTTCCCTCCTCCAAGGCTATCAGATGGCAGTCTCCCCCAACACAGAGTATTTCCCTGCGGACTGGCTGGGGGCTGAGGTTTCTGGGGCGACCCTGGGGATTGTGGGGATGGGAACCATTGGATACAAAGTGGCCCAGAGAGCCAAAGCCTTTGAGATGAAGATTTTGTACCACAACAGGAATCGGAGGTAAAGCTGGTTGCAGCTCCATGGAAAGTATTTCATCACTGCTTTTAAACATTGTTTGTACCTTTCACTGTTAAACTGATCTCCTATTCTCTCTGTGCTAGGATAGGATGACGTGCTCTCTGCACTATTGTTACTAAATATTGTGCCAGGAAGCAGTAATAGACACAGACCATGGCCAAGTTCACACAAAAGTCCAAATCATCAAGCAAGCTCACAGTGATAAGGCAGAGGCCAGACAGGGGCTGAGGAGGGCTGGACCAGCCCTGCTGCATCTCTGGGACAGGAGCTGATAGCCCCAAGGGGAGCTATCCCCCTGGGATGTTGGGAAGCCCCAGGGTTTGGACAGGGACAGCCATGACTAGTGATGTCCTCCAGGCCATGACAAAAGTCGCTGCTGTATTACTATCTCTTTATTTGAAGTGGCAAGGTACATATATACCTGCTGTAGGATGGTAATTAATTTCCCAATTTATAAAGAAACAAAGTCAGGAAGGAATGGGAGAGATACATCTCACTGATGTCCCTGTGAACTGGGGCTCCCTGAGCCATCCTGTCGTGTTGGTGACGTTGTAGTAGACTGAGGAAAGGAGAAGTAATCTGGGAGGACTTAACTCCTGTGACTTAGGTGAGGCAGGGGTGCAGGCAGGGATACCTGACCCTTTCAGAGACAGCTGACAATGAAGAGCTGGACTTGCTAGCTCATTTGCTTTCTTCTAGACGAGGTGTATGTGCCCTTCACGTGTGCTGTGACTCTCATCAGGCCCTTTCCATCCTTTTCTTTTGTGGGAATCTAATGGGAGCTGGTTAGTACTTGCCCCAACCTTGTCCTGATGCAGATCGAATACCCCAGCAGGTTGTGCAGCATACTGTTTCAGTGAACCAGCACTACTGCACAGAGCAGGCTGACTGTTGCTGGCACAAATTTCTGAAGATTTAACCGCTGTCCTGTCTTGTGGGTTTCTTCAGTAATTTTCAGACAAGTCACTTTCCAAAGGCAAACATCGTGTCTTGCTTTTGGGCTGGAAAAGAATCACCATCACAAGCAGAAGCTGTGACACAAATGCATTTATTTTATTATTTATTTAGTGCATTTACATGATTCTTGCATGCATGATTCTTGATTTACATGATTCTTTATTTACATGATTCTTTACATGCGTTTCTTACTTGCCCTCCCCACAGATAGAGCACTGCACATTTGTGTGTAGTGGGAAACAGCTTGAACTTGATGTTGTGGGAAACAGCTTAACATTCTTCTTTACTGAGTTTCAGTCAGATAACAGTCTAACTGCTTTGCATTATGGGGTGAAGAAAATGATTAAGAAACCTTTTATGTAGTGGTGATTTGGACTTTTTTCATATTGCTTACTGTTGGACTTAATTTTGTGTTTTTTCTTTCAGAAACAAGGAAGAAGAAAGTGCTGTTGGAGCTGTTTACTGCAAGAAGATAGATGATTTGCTCCAGCAGTCAGATTTTGTGTTGCTGTCTGTGACCCTGACTCCACAGACACACAAGCTGATTGGGAAGAGGGAGCTGGAGCTGATGAAACCGACAGCTACTCTCATAAATATCAGCAGAGGTAGGGTGCACAATAAACAGAACTGTGTTACAGTTTGCTGGCATAAAAAGTCCTGGGAAAACCCAACCCTATAGAGTCTCTCACTCTGGAATTTTCAGTAAATTCTCTGATTACTAGGTTATTTACATGTCCATGGTCATATCTCAGCAAAACTTTTAAGCACTCTGTAATTTCGATCAAGTAGATCTCTAAAATGTTAGTGAGCTTGGAGTGTCAGAAGCCCACATATACTTGTATAATGTCCTGCTTAAGCTTGTTATTTATTTAGTGCAGTGCTGTTGCTAACATAGGGTGTTGCTAACATCAGGGTGTCACAGCCCACTCTGAAGTCTGGCACTGTACTTTGTTTTATGGTCCTCCTGACTCTCCAACTCTGCTGCATGTACCCAAGCTTCCTGCCCCAACTTTACCATACTCCCTCTACTGCCACTTCTGCTTTGTGTACGTCGCTGTCCCTGCTGTGTATGTGACCACTGTGCCCAAAAGGATGGTGAGAAAACAGTATGGAATATGAAAATCAGAGTATCTTTCTTACTGTAACCCAGGTCTGGTTGTGGATCAGGATGCTTTGGTGGAAGCCCTTCAAAACAAAGTTATTAAGGCAGCTGCTCTGGATGTGACATATCCTGAACCTTTGCCAAGGTAAATGTATTTAGGTGAAGTATAAATGAGTGTATGTATGTGGTTCAAACTAAGTACAAGTTTGTGAGCGTTTGAGAAGTTGCATAATTTTATTAGGAGTACATGATGGATGTGCAGTGGTCCTACCGAAACAATGTCCCCAATCCTTCCATCCTAGCCAAACAAATTTCACACTGACTCATTTGAAGTATTTGTTGCATAAAAAACCCCACAAGCAAGGCAGCAGTTTGAACTCTTCTGAGTATGCTTTGGTCATACAATTATTTTTTATTCTTAATTATTGTTTTAAATACTTCCCCGGCTGCCTTAAGGTGCTGCAATAACAGATGAATGCTCTGTGAGTGACTAGCTCAGTATTTATTTTCCTTTTCCAGGGATCACCCCTTATTAAAGCTGAAAAATATTATAATAACTCCTCACATTGGAAGTGCCACCAAAAAGACACGCCGCCTGATGATGGAAAACATGACAGAAAGCATACAAGCAGGTCTTACAGGTGTTCCTATCCCTAATGAAGTATTACTGTAAAGTGGCCTGTATTTAATGTTAATGTCATTAGTGTTTGTCCTGGTGTGAGGAAACAGTAGTTTGATCACTCTTCATGTAATTATCCCAGGTGTGTATATACAGATAAAATTTATAATTGTCCTGGTTTTGCTGGGATAGAGTTAATTTTCTTCCTAGTAGCTGTGCAGAGCTGTGTTCTGGCTTCAGTCTGAGAACAATGCTGATAACACACCAATGTTTTAGTTGCTGCTCAGCAGTGCTTACTCTGATTGAGGACTCCTCAGTCTCTCACGTTCTGCCAGTGAAGTGGGGCACAAGAAGCTGGGAGGGAGCAGAGGCAGGACACCTGTCCCAAACTGGCCAAAGGGGTATTCCATACCACAGCACGTCATGCCCAGTATAGAAACTGGGGGGAGTTACCTGGAAGGGCACATTGCTACTCTGGTCAGGCTGGGTATTGGTCAGCAGTTGGTGAGCAGTTGTATTGTGCATCACTGCTATTCATTGGGTTTTTTTCCTTTCCCCTTTTAGTTTTACATTCTCTCCCCTTGTTATTTTCCTTACCATTATTATTAGTGCTATTATACTGTACTTTAGTTATTAAACTGTTCCTATCTCAACCTGCGGGTTTCACATTCTTTCAATTCTCCCTGTCCAGCCTGGAGTGGGAAAAAGGAGGGTGGGGTGTGAGTGAGCAGCTGCATAGTACTGAGATACCTGCTGGGTTTAAACCATGACAATAATGAACGGCTTTGATTTATTTAAATGACCAAAAGCGATTCTGTGTGAAAAAATTGCACTATTTTTGAACTTCGATGAAAAACTCAAGTCTGGAGTATTGCGTCGGTGTAATTTATTTTGGACTACATTTAATTCTTTTTGCTCGCATCCCGTTGAAATTGCCCATCTATGTTACATCGAACTGAAGGATGTTCAAATCGTATTCTAGTGCCGCCGCCGAAATACGTGGCACAGCAACGTGTGTCGGGCTGATGGACTCGCTCTTCCTGATGCTCCAGCAGCAATGCTTACCTTTGGGGAACAGTTTGCAAAGCCTTTGCTGGGGCAGCCCTTTAATGCAAACGCAGCAACCAGCCTTAGTTTCGCTTCCAAGACAGCTCACCCGCCCTAATAACAGAGTCTGCGCACAGCGGTGCCTGCACGGGGTGTGTATGAGCTTTCCCGCAGCTCGGGCCCCTCTACCCCCGGCGCCGGTGAC